AATTATTTCTATTTCATCCTATCTTATTTTATCTTATTTCATCTATCTATCTATCTACCTGTCTGTTTGTGTGTCTGTCTGTCTGTCGGTCAGTCTGTCTGTATATGTGTTTATCTATCTATCTTTCTTTGTATGTGATAGTTATATATATATATATGACTATGAGTTATCTACATTTTTTGTAGTCTCATTCTAGATTCGATATAAATCTTCTATGGCGTATGATGGTTGTATGTACATATATGATCATATATTGTTTATATATGTATATATATATCCAATTAAATCCATTAAGAAATCTGCAGAAAATGGTTTGTTGTCACCGTAACATTCCCATCCAGAACTGGGATGATTGTTGGACAGGTTGCGCCTGTGGGAGAGGAGACCGAGAGATCCGAGAGACCGACCTGGGTTTTAGCCTCCAGCAACGTGAGGTCCCAGTGTTAGTTTGAGGTTTCAGGTTGGTGATGAGAATTCAGCCGGATAGAAAGATGATAAAGTGATATAACATGTTGAAAGGCATCGGAAGTTTTGGATCATTGGTTTTGCTGTGAGGGATCAGAATTGTGGGACAAATTGCAGGAAACCACTATATTTGACATGTAAAAACCATATAATAAGAAATGTTCTTCAGACTTTCCCTTCAACAAATGCATTGTTTTTCATGATTTTCAGTGTCAACTCAGTCATCAGATGTGTTCCAACCATGATCGCGGACACCAGTTGAGGAACTGAAGCCATCTGGCCACAGCACACACACCTTCCGAGTCACTGGTGTAGGTCCGTTGGAAATATGACCTGATAGGTCAAGAATTCTGTGCCAGAAAAGGTGGGGTGATTCCTCGGTCATTTCTCCCGAAGTTTTGACCCCCAATGCTGCAATGTCAGCATTCAGAACCTATAATTGCCAGCTGCAAATAGCTGAATTGTCCGGTTAAAACAAATCCCTTACCATTTTACAGGAGGTAAATACCATTAAACAAATAAATCCATTCTTTCTTTCTTTCAAATCAGCTGAGCTTCAACTTAGCTATATACTCTTCCTTTTCCAGTAAAGTATGAAAATTTAGAGGCAACCTCTCTAATCCCATGCCACCCCCCTAGAAACCATGGTTTAGTAGGGGATGTACACTTATTTTGGGGGTAGAAGCTAAAGTATTAAAGTTTTGGGGGCAGAAACCAGGGTTTCCTCGAACAAATCCTTCAACTACTCTAACAATCCATTGATTTTTTGGCCTCTCAGCTGCATGAGCGCCAACTCCTTAGTGTTGGACGACGTCAATGGCGATGTTTTTCAACGACGCCGCGATGTGGCCCGGTGGTTCTCCACGCCCCTCGGTGGCTGCGAGGCTGGGTTTGGTGGGATGTAGGGAAGAAAACTCAGATAGAAATGGGAAAATCCTGTGTAAAGGGTTGGTTTATGGGGATTCCCAGTTTTTTTTCCATAATATTTTATGATCATCCCCAATAATATCAAGTAAAAGTGGCTATAACCCCAGAGAATAAAGTTTGGGAAGCACAGAGTTTGGTCAAGTTCAATATAGGAAACAATCCATTCTCTAGGTACATACTGCATCGTGAACACCAATTAGACCACCCAGTCAATTCTTAGTCTGCCTCCTTTGCTTGGACCTGGTGACTCGATTCATCCAACATCTCGAACAATGCAGCATCTTTCACTATAAATTACTGTATAATTAGTAATCCCCCCAAAAGATGGAAAAACAAAATCCTACGAGATAATTTTACTTTCCTATCTTTTTGGGGTTGCTATATCTAGCCATAATGACTGAAGCTTCACATTTCACCAGTCCCAGAGTCGCTCCCGCGGACACGAGCTGAGGAATGTTTGTGAGGCCCGACCGTTGCAAACGCGACGTGGGATGAAGTGGCTGTGGGTTCAGACCCAAAGTGAGGGGTTTAACGAGATGATATCCCGTTGCTGGATGATCATGTCCACATGTCCATTGGTCAAATCCAAAGTTGACGCTGAAATCAGGTTGAATCGCCGTTTGAGCTTGTGACATACAACACTTTTTGGCCGCACCAATCGTTGATTTTTTCGAATGGTGATTTATCCCATATTGTTGATGCTTCAATCACCACGAAATCCCTGTCATGTCAGGTGGCGCGCTGCCGTCGCTTGGAGGGTCCAGGTGTGTCCTCAAGATTTCCTGGACAAACAGCTGGAAAAGAAAACTATCAGGTTTTATATGGATTTGGATTTGTTATTTGATTCGGGAAAATGGTGGCTGATCCTATATTTTAGATGGTTTTAGATGGGGTTAGATGGGGCAACATTGTGTTTCATCATCAAATAGTTGGATGGTTTATTTCATGGAAAATCACCCAAAAATGGATGATTTGGGGGTCCCATTTGTGGAAAGCCCAAGTTAGAAGGTCTGGGGAAGGTCTGGGAGCCGAGCTTTCCGCAGGTGCATTCCTGGTGGAATTGTACCTGGAAAACGAGACCGAGGCTGGAATTGTCGTGGGATGTTTGGGGGAATCTGGGAGGCAAAAATGCAGTTCTGGTTGGTGCTTCCAGGGTCCAAGATTAATCAAGATTAATCAAGATTATATATTATAGAGTACAATCAGGAAAAATGCCAAGATGAATCAGGAAAAATGCCAGGAAGATTATAGAGTACAGTATCATATTCCTGGCATTTTTCCTGACGCAATAGTCCCTGATTCCAGATGTGTAAAAAATAATCCACCGCGCCGAAAATTGTCCCACAGTGACGGAAACCTGTTGGAGATGAATTGAAGCACAATTTGTAGAAGATTGTAGAGGCATGTAGAGGCATTGTATAGACGCCGGAAATATGCAGATTTGAGAGGTTATTGTTCTCCTTTGTTGGGTCAATAAAGCTTTGTCAAGGCCGATTTTAAGGTTCCGGACTCATGCGAAAATCAAATGGCGCCCCAACAGCACATCCAAAAAAGATGGAACATCCACCTTGATGTAGATCATGTCCTAGGATTCCCCATGGTTTTTCCATATCTGGTTGGAGAGTAGATCCAGATATTGGTGACATCTCCATTTTTTGATGGATTACATCTATCTAAATCACCATCTCCAATCAATCCTTATAAATCCGTTTAGACCACCAATTATAATCCATCTAAACATTTATATCTAAACCACCATTTAAACCACTAAGTTTCGTTTCTTGGAGGGTCGCCAAGTTCCCATGCCACACCCCAGGTGGCCTTACATCGCTTCAGCCAGTCCTTTCCCCACTGCTCTGCGCGCCGGATGCCTTGGCTGGGGCTCGGAAGGTGTCCGAAGTCACAGGGGGTACCCCAAAATCATCCAACTTATTGCTTATAAATGGGTTTGTCTGAAAATAGGGTATATTCCCAATTATAGCCATTTAATAGGGATAATGATCATTAACCATTGGGTTTAGGGGTACACTATTTTCAGACACACCCAAATGGGTAAACCAAAGGTTTGGGGCAGGAACCCCCCAAAAAACACAGGGAAAATGATGATTTGGTATCAGTGGAGTTCAGAAAATGATGGTTACCCCGGCACATACGGTACACAAAAATGCAAGATACATTGTTTTCGAACCAGCCAATTTGTGTGGATTTAACCCACCAAAATGGGATTACAGTAAACTATATATATATATACATCAAACCAATGAGTCATGGATACAATATGCAAACTAAGACACTATACAAACTAAAAGATACAATACACTATCAATTACCCTTTGGTTATTTAACATAGCTATGGAAAATCACCATTTTTAATAGGTACATCATCTATAAATGGGTCATTTTCCATAGCTATGTTAAAGAACCAGAGGGTATATCAACAAATTTCCAATGTATCCACAAGGTAGATTAACCACTTTTACTCATGCGGGAAGTATGTTAGTAGCCACCCTTAAATTGGCCATAAGTCTATAGCAAGCAACGTTTCATAGATTCATAGTAAACACCAAAAGGATGGAAAAAACACCTGGAGATTGGAGATGATTTGCTTTTCATTATGTTTTCTTATATTCTTCGAGGTTATACTATAAATAATATCTATGTAAAGGATGCAATATCTGCAATAATTATATATATATATATATTATAGTTATATATATAATATGTAGTTACTATATATAATTATATATAATTATATGTATATATATATGTATATGTATTTGGGCTAGAAATAGTTCATAGTGGCAACTCTGAACATGCGACATGGACATGCGCCCTTTGATGATTCAGCATAGCCGCATAGCCATGGAAAACCACCATCAAAATAATAGGTCACCAGGTAATACGCAACAAGATGGGCCATTATTTAATACCATGTATCATATATCATATAGAGGCCATTTGGCATATATCATATATCATTATTTAATAGCATATAAATATGAATAACCTCTATATGTTAATTTTACTAGAGGTTATCAAATTTTTGTTCAGCATGTTTCAGCTATATCTCCATGGGTCAACATCCACCGAGACAACCCAGGTCTGGCAAGGGCTGCAGATTTCAGGCCGGAGCACAATTTCATGGCTTCAATGGTAGATCTACTTATTGAAAACATAAATCCTATAGAATGTTTCTTTTGTATATGCACCAGAAATTCTGGTTACCATATAGACTAATGAAAGATGCATCGTTTTTTTTCCCAGCATCCATGGCTGTTTTCGTGAAAGGAACCATCCCATTTTGGAGTGATGCCTGGCACGATTTCTCGCCAGCCTGTGGCTGCAAACACAACAATCAAGCAGCGGGCCTTTGGGACCTTTTCAGGCTGAATGAAAAAAGTATGAACAAGTCAGCTTCTCCAATGAAGTCCTCCAGGCCATTGCCGGGTTTCAACCCCACATCTTGCCACCAAATTCAGCCCGACATCTCTGAAAATGATGAGATGAAACAGGATGAAATGGCATCAGTACCTGATCATAGGTGGTTTTAATATGTTTTAATGGGAAGACTCACTGGATACTCACTGGATCCCCTAAAAATTCCTGCCATGGTGGCCGTTCCCAGCTCGGGAGCGCACATCTTCGTGACGCCCACCCGAGAGCCGCCGATGCCCACGGCCATGCAGCGGGGGGATCCCCTGCGATCACCAAGAGAAACTGGGACAGCGACGACGGGTCAATGCTTGGGATTTTACCAGCGAAACATATGTGAATAATTTGATAATTTTAGATTTTACATGATTTTACCATATAAAATGTTAAAACATATTAATTGTAGGGATCTTATGTGTTAGTTTCAGCCCGTTTATGGGGATGATGGGAAATTACTGGCAAGAAATAATGGTTTAACCATCGGGTTCTGACACATTCAACTGGTTAAAGAAGTGCTAAAAAGGGAGTCTGCTGGTGCCAATTTGGGTATGGGTCACGTCGACTTGGAAAATTGGTGAAAATTGGTAACTAAGTATATTTAAGATTATTTAAGTATTTGGTATTTGGAGTTGGTGTAAGGGGAAGTTGGAACCCAAAACTATGATGGTTTTTATTTAATTAGGCGCTTGGGGTACATCCCACAAAATTTCCCTTCCTCCAATTCTGCCAGTTGAGTATTTGCATTATGTATTTGGAGTTGTGCATGAGCCAATAGGTCAACAACTAGATACTGTACATTTTAGTATTAGAAGATTTGGGTGGCATAGTGATGTACTACAATTAATACTATATACATAGTAATGTGACATGTGGCGATTGTAAACCAAATACTCGATAAAAGTGCACCCAAAATTTGGTCAAACATCTAGCTCATCTTTACCGCAGCTTAAAGATGTTGGGGCCCGTTGGGGTTTCATGTTTGGATTTACCACAGATCATTTTTTTTTGCGACTTGTCCCAAAACTCACATTTTGGCCCCGCCATCCGATCAGGAAATCATGGCCGTGCCATCCGTCGCATCGCCGGGTTCAGCACCTTGGGAAGAATTCACCGGAAGCTGATCTTGAAGATGTGACGGATTCGTTAAAAAAAAACAACAACAGAAAAACGTCATCATATGTCATCATCATCCAAACAGCATCCAAAGTCCGTAAACATCAAAATAACCATCCAGAATTATAAATATCATCATCATCATCATCATCCTCATCATCCTCATCCTCATCCTCATCCTCATCCAAACATCATCCAAACATCATTCAGTAAGTCCGTAAACATCAAAGTAACCATCCAACATTTTAAAATCATCCACAATTCCGAAGATTATGGTCGGATGTGGTTGGAAATCAAGCTCTACTCTACTTGAACATTCCACATCCCAAGACAACATTAGGTTTTTGATAGAGTTGAGTCCCGATGTTTGATGGTTCAGGTTCAATCCATTTCAATCCGAATTTCCGATGATTAAGTCCAATTTTTGATTGTTGAGCCCCTGTTTGTTATGGTCAATTGTTTGAAAGTCCCTTTGGACATGACTAGCCTAAGGTCAGTGACTTTGGGCAGTTGATCCAAGCATCCACAGATGAGGCACACAACAAGGTGACTCGGCGGACTCGGTTGAAACCTTGGTGAATGGTATGGGCGGTATGGGGATGGTCGGACATCATCGGGGTGAATGTAGCATAACTGGTTGGTGGTTTGGAACATGGCTGCTATATGACTTTCCCATCATATTGGGAATGGAATAATCATCCCAACTGACGAACTCATATTTTTCAGAGGGGTAGGCATACCACCAATGTGATAATATAGCCATCGTGAGGATTCCTGATGGTCAAGGAAAGCCCACTTCCACATACCATGGTAAACCTTGGTGAATGGTAAAGAAATCCTGCACCAGCTGAGTGATGTGGTATTTATTCCATGTTTGTTTTAAGGGTTGAAATACCATCCTTGTGGTGCTGGATTTCGCAACCATCCACAATATGATGAACATATTGCCAACCCCATGTGCCATGTTCAAGTGCCATGGTTTATTTTCCCAAGGGGATGGGGGAGTTTTTTCTATCCATTGTCAGGATTCCCTTAAAAATGCTGTGTCGTTCGAAAACGCCATCATCAATCATGTTTTGACCTTGGCACATATGGAGATTTTGCAGCAATTTCACAATATTTCACAATCCAAAATGGAGATTTAAACCACACAATGGCAGATTTGACCATGCACAACTGGATTTAATCATGAAACCATTGCGAAATTGTTTTTTTTCATCACGATGAAATAGGAATTCAAAGATCAACCAGCAAAGATGGGAATTTAACAATCCAAATCAATCATGGTATTTTGGGGAATTGACCCACCAGACCTGAAACTCATGTCAGTCATGTGCGAACAAACTTCAGTGGAGTTTTGAAGAACAGTATTTTTTTTCAGATCTTTTGGGCAACGATTGAAACCGTTTTTGCACTTGATCTTGGTTTGGACATATCAACTGAATTTTATTGAATTTTGTCATATTTTGCACGTCTTGCTGGCTGCTCCTGTACTTTGATAGCCGATGGGCCCATGGGGCTGGTTTTAGCGGCTTACCCATTTATACTCCATGTATCAAGTATGTTCATTTATCATCAGTTTACACAACATTTATACTCTATTCAATTCATTTTTAGTTGGCCACTTAATGAGTATCAATGTTGTATAGACTGTATACGTGTTGTATCAACTTGCCCATTGATACATGTCGTTTTTCCTGGATCGCGAGAAAAAACTATGGCATTTGTTGAAGTTTCTAGCCGCGAGTTCCGAGGTCCTTCCATCGGACTTCCCGCCCTTGTTTCCCATGCCGAAGCTCTCCGTTCCAGCCATCCCCTGGGCCTTGCCAGTGCTGCCCTTTCCATCGCATCAGCACCCCACCCCGGCGGTGACGGTGGCACCCTTGGCACCGTTGGCACCGTTGGCAGCGGCTCCTCCAGTGGTTCCCTATGTGAGACACGGAGGCGGCTGTTGATGGCCACGGAAGGGAAACTGCTGATACCTCTGATTTTTGTGTGTGGTACCCCCTGGTAAACAAACAGTTTGCTATTGAAAATGGCCATTTATAGTGGATTTACCCATTAAAAATAGTGATTTTCCATAGCTATGTTAGTTTACCCACAGGACGAGGGTATGCATCCCAGTGCCAGGGGATTTCCTTGTCATAACAACAGTGACGTCTCACGCATACTTCTATCAGGGGTTTCATTCAGGGTTTACGTAAGTTATAAAATCCCCCGGCCCCATGGAACATATACGCATACTTCTATTAGGGGTTTCATTTAGGGTTTACATAAGTTATAAAATCCCCCGGCCCCATGGAACATGTACGCATACTTCTATCAGGGTTTACGTAAGTTATAAAATCTGCCGGCCCCATGGAACATATACTCATACTTCTATTAGGGTTTCATTTAGGGTTTACGTAAGTTATAAAACCCCCCGGCCCCATGGAACATATACGCATACTTCTATTAGGGGTTTCAGTCAGGGTTAATTTACATAAGTTACAAAATCCGGACTCACCAAAAAAGTGAAAAAGATTGAAAAAGTGGAAATGGCCCAAACGCGTGAAGTCCGCAGAGGGTTCACTTTTCTGACAGATTTTTCCAAAAATTCGTCTTAGACCAGGCTAAACACTGCGCCTGCGCAGAGAAATGAGTCTCCCACTGACGTTCATACGACCATTCCGGGACAACCCTCAGTCCTGCCTGTTAGTTTACCAGAGAGTATATGGGATGGTGGGAGCAACGCTTCCTGTTTAGCAAAGAAGGACATCTGCGCCAAAGTGAGGTGATGTGCCGCTGCCAATTTGAGATGGGCCAATCTGGGCGTATGTATCCCACTATGTGCCCACTATATCCCCAGTTATGGTTCAAAACAGCCTTTAATTCAATCATTTCAAATAGTGTGACATGTTCAAAGTTCAGTTAATCAACAACAATTCATTTATATGGTCCCTAGAAATAGTTCAACTTAGTAAGTAGTTAATCAACCAGATAAATTACAAGCTGTTTACATGGTCCCAAACTATAGTTATAGTTCGAATGACTCTCAAATCAGTCCAAATCATCCAATCAGTTCAGTTCCTCACTACAGTTCCAACAAATCTCAAATCATTAAGTCAGTTTTTTCATTTTTTTCATAATCCATCACCAAAAATCACATAGTTCTGTTATGTTCTGTTCCAATCATCCATTGAACCCCTGAGGCCCTGCCACCTTCGTGCTGCCCGCCACCGCGCGTTGGCACCGCAGTCACACCGCGAGCGTCGCGATGCCCACGGTGCTGGCGGTGCCAGGATCAGAGAGAGGCCACAAAACGGAAATCAGGGGATATATATATATTATATATATAATAAGGATGTAAATGGGATATTGATGGGGGTACTATGTATCAATAGCTGGATATATATTATATACAGTGGGATTTTAATGGTTGTGAAACCCCTATGGTAGGGCTCAGAATCTGGTTGGAACTGGGGAAATCGGTAAGGTTATTTCGGATTGTTTGGGCTTCCAGGATAGACGAACATATAGGATTATATAGAGGATTAAACTTTAACTGCTAAAAACTTGGAGCATCTAGAATCTAGCAAAAGTGAACTGGGATACTGTAGGTTTTCCGTATACCTTGACCCTCAGCTGGCCCATGTGAATGGGGAAAAGTTCTAAAACTATGGGCTATGACCAATTTTCATGGTCTAGAGTAAGTATAGTATAAAACACAATCTGGCTTGATTTAACTAGCTAAAAGATGTGATTTATCCAGCAGAAGTGGGAACCGAAGGAACAGAACAGGTGATTTTATACATGTACAGAAATAGTGACTAGACCACCATGAGATAGGCATTTACGGAACAGAATAGTTGACATTAGTTCACCCTCCAAAAGTCTATCAACCATTGGCAATGGCCAGTGGCTAGCGGCTGCGGCTGGATCATCACAAGGATTAATCCAACACGCATCGGGATTGGCATAAAGAATCAAACATGTAGATTTACAGGGGTTGGTAACTGTCCCATTTTGGGAATATTGGACATCACCTTATAGTAGCCATTATAGTCCATATACCTAATGGTTGGGTGATGTTCAATGGGGACATTTAATGACCCATGATTTACGTTCAAATTTGGTCTAACAACCCCATCAGAACCAGTTTTTTTTGTTTCAGAAATGGTTGGGACTTAATCAGCCATTTGTGGGGATAGCGGGGGGTAGCTCACAAGTTGCTCACCAGTTGGATTAGATTCATCCACAGTGGCGGATGGTTATCAATCCATTCTAATACATGTTGATGTAGTGTATTTACACACCAAAAATACCATTATCATTCATGATCAATGTACATAGATAATCATATATATATATATTATCTATATCTAACTTGCTACATGCATACATACATATATATATATATTGTGTTATATATATATTATAATATATATTATACACATACTGCTACATATCCATTCTGAATTTCCATGGCACTGACGGCACTGAGCATCGCTCGCGATCGCTACATTTCCTCGTCCAGGTGATGGCGTCCCTGCCTCCGAGGGACGATCGGAGGAGTTGGAGCTTCGGTCGCAGGGGCCATTTTTGTTGGGTAACATGTTTGGGTAACCACTTATTTTTTTTGGGTAACATTTAACATGTATCAACCAGCCATTTTTTTGGGGAAGATTCAAGTTTGAGCCATGTGATTTTTGATGGGTAGGATTCGGGGTAACTATCCCAAAATGGAAAAACTGTTCAGGTCTATGGACTATTAGTCGGTTTCCTCAAATGGGGATTACCCCTAAATCATCCAGCGATGGTGATTATCAAAAATGGGGATTATCAAATGGGGATTATCAAATGGAAAATCCTAAATCATCATCCATTTTATTTTCGGATTTTCCATGAAATGAACCATCCAGCTATTCGAGTACCACCACTTACGGAAAGCTCCATATAAGAATCCCCCCATACAACTATCAGAGATGTATCAGTAGAGAAATGATAATAAATGATATACCAAACCGAGGTTTCTATTTCTTTTCCCAAAGGGACACTACGGTATTGTGAAGGTATTTGAAGGGCAGTGTATTTTAGATTGTAGATATCTATATCTATCTCTATGTCTATGTTGATACCAATGTATATATCTATATATCTAGATGAATTATTTCATGAGCTCACCTTGGCTGTCACTGGAATGATGGGATTTGTAAGGGATGATCCTATAAGTAACCCCACCATCTATAGGTTATAAGATGTTATAATATGTTATATGATACTGATGGGATTTGTTTACCCTAAATTTGATGACTATGGTACAATTGCCAATGTTGGAATTCTTGGTGGTGGAACTATGAGTTTCTAAACAATATGGGATTTCTTCAAGTTCTATATTTTGTAAGGACGTGCGGACGCTGACAAGGCCATATATTTTTTTCAGCCAGCCGTTGCCCCTGCGGACATGGCCGAGGAGAGGCTCGAACAGGTCAGTCGTTCTTCGTTCCGCTCTTCGTGGATACCTTCACCTGCCAGGACGTTGCGGAACGTTGTGCCCGGGGTGTTTTTGGTTCCCCTTATCAAAGAGCACAACCCGCGACCAATGGAGGGTTTTTGGTAAGGGGCGATCATCGAGCTATAAAAACCAATGGATCTGTGCGCCCCGCTGGACACAGATGAACTCGACCGACCAAAGTGACCAAAGCCGCCGTCACGTTTTGGTGGTCTCTGGGACACAAGCCGACCATGTGTTGCATGGAATACCAACATAGGATAGTCAAGCATGAACCCAAGATGACCATATTATCATATGAAATCTTTGATGGTAAATGTGAATGAATTGAGGAACATTGATTTGCAGGAAACCATGGGTGTGTTATCCCAAACAATTTGGGAATTTCCTGTTGAAATGTCCTGAAAACACTTCCGGGAAGATGTTCATGAATACATTACAATAAACATCCAAAATATCCCAAATAGTTCCAAATAGTTACAAAAAGTCCCAAATATCCCAAATAGTTACAAATAGTCCCAAGTTATATATGATATCTCCCCCAAAAAAACAGGCAAAACCAACGCCTACCGACGCCCAAACTCGGCGCCAGGAAGATTCCGACGGTCCTGGGCCGAGAGCAGACGGCATGCTCCGAGATAGGATCGCAGAGGAGCCACTTAAGATGGTTGGAAGACATATATATATGATTAGAAATATGTGTAAATGTATATAATTATACAACATTATATAACCTTATATAATTAGATATGATTATATACATATATAAGTATATATATATGTATATATATATATATATACATATGTATATCTATATACATACACACACATATATATACTTATATATGTATATATATACTTATATATATATATGTATATATATACATATATATATGTATATATACTTATATATGTATATATATACTTATATATGTATATATATACTTATATATGTATATATATACTTATATATGTATATATATACTTATATATGTATATATATACTTATATATGTATATATATACACTTATATATATGTATATATATATGTATATACTTATATATGTATATATATATGTATATGTATATATATATATATGTATATATACAATATGTAGAATCAAAACACATCATATTTATAGTTATATATATTTATATGTGGGAGATATATCATGGGCAAAGGGTGAAAGATGCGCATCATAGCTTTGGTGATGCGTTTCACTGGCTTGGGCTATCTTTGGCTTATTGCAGTTCAAGGTCTGAGAGTAGAAAGACTCGGTGAACAATAACGGACCATCCAATGGAGTGAAATTGACGGTGCAGAATGATCTGCAAATCTTAGAATGCGATCGAAACGAACTTATCGAAAGATATTTTGGAAAGTGATGAAATTTTATGACACTGAATAGCGTCATAAAACATCCCCAGCATTTTCTTTTCCCCGGCCTTTAGATTTCATTTAGAATGGCCAGAACACCCGGTATTTCATCATCAGATCTACCCAATGGGGATCCCTCCAGTACTTTCACGTAGCGAACATGGTGATTTATGGAACATAGCTATGTTAAATTGCCAGAGGTAATTGCATTATCTATATTGGATTCATAATCTACTTATAGATTCAATGATCATTGGATATCATCGGCTAATAAAAATTGTAATGGCTAAATATCATCATTATCATTTTAGATTTCATATTCCCAAATCACATCTAACATTCATCTATTTAAATCCAATCATAAATGGGTCTGTCTGAAAATAAAATATTCCACACTCCGATGGTTTCTCCTGTCATGGTCGTACTCGCAATTGTGGGTATACAATATTTTCGGACAAACCCAAATCATCATCAAATCCAACTGCATTTAGATGTCATGTTTCCCAGCATTTTCCGTCAAGGAGTAGCCGACAGCAGCCAGCGCGGCATCCTGCTGCTCTGTGGCTTTCTGCGCCGACGCCAGCGCCAGCGGCGCCGACGCGAGTGCCATCGATGGATGGAAGAAGTCACGCGGCAGGGAAATCAGCAGAAATGGCAATGGGAAATCCCCTAGAAACGGAGGTTTTACCCTCTGGTAATTTAACATAGCTATAGAAAATCACCATTTTTAAAAGGTATACCATCTATAAATGGGCCATTTTCCATAGCTATGTTATTTTACCAGAGGGTAATGGGAAAATCATCTGTTTGTGGATTTGTCTTGAATTTCAATTTCGATTTTATGGAGAAGAATAGATTTTAGAGTTAAATGAAGGATTTTAACATGATTTAAAGCATCAAATATGGAACAAGTGGAAGATGGACAAAAAAACAAGTGGTTGGAGGTTAAGAGATCTTGATCTCGCAACAAAAGACGAAGAAATGACCTGAGACAGAATATTGGAATATTCTGACTAAGTGAAATAGGGTTTATGGGTATATGGGTGATATAGCTATGTATAATTTGATGGGTTTATTATGGTTTATTCATAACTGGGGGGGGCCTTTCCGGCAAGTACGACCGTAGAAGCGATAATTTGGATTGAACCATCAAACCGCATGGGTTTGTCTGAAAATGGGGTATACCCCAACATGGCTATTTTCATAGGTACAATGATGATTAACCATCAAATTTTGGGGTACACTATGTTCAGACAAACCGATATACATCCATATACATCCATATACTGTAAAACACATGGGATAGAACAGCTACGTAATTAGTTCATTGGTTGCTTATTTATGGGGCTGATCCCAATCGTCAGGGATGGCTCAAGCAGGATCTCCATGGCCATAGCGAGATCCATGGATTTCCCCTTGGATATGATCTACATTCATGGTGTTTTTTCCATAGCAATAGATGTTGGTTTACTTGGAGAGTAGCAGAGGCACAGGGAGATGGTGAAGAGCGTTTCTAGCTGTGGTCCTTGAGTACTTGCGCGTGGATTCATCCCTGTATTCTGACAAAAAGAGACAACACTTCACTGCAATCTTGTCCACAAAACGAGGAAAGAGTCTTTCAGAATAGGGAATAGGGACATGTAACATGATGTAACTCTTGCTCCACTCATCACAGACATGCCCTGTCCTGCATGAGGTATTGATGACTTGAAGTATGAGCTCAAGAAGCGAGGACGCAAGGCTTCAGAAACGCTTCGAAACCAGGAAGTGTTTGGACCCATAAGGCCAGCCTTTCAAAAACTGGTAAATACTGGCGCTCAACACGACCCATCCCTTTTAAACAGATTATAGATATTTATAGATAATGTGTTCACCCAATCTGACTTTGGCCTTTGAATATACCCCCAAAAACACCTGGGCTTCGCCATGGCCCGTTCCGAGGATTGGACGCCCTGTTCTGCTTCTCACAGGAAGATCTGCTGCAACGCTTGGCCACGACTGAGCCGCCTGCGGCGGAACCCACCGCGGTGCACGCAGTGCACGCGCTGCGCAGATGGTGACACCATCGATTGACCCATTGGGTCTGAATATCTTTGGCAAATACCTGAAATGAATGGAAAGCATAGAAACTGAAGATTTCAGTCTCCCAGGTTTGGGATTGAACATTGGACCGAGATCAACTGATGGTGTGTCTAGAAAGTGAAGCCAATGACTCAACCCAGCCTATATGACCACGTTTGATACGCGCAGGTGTAAACCTGAAACGTGGGCCGAGGCGTCTAGTGGATCATGGGTAGCAGTAGGTGGTGATGCAAATGCGGATACCTGCATACTGCACACATCAAACTGTTCCAAACACCGTGGCAAAAATTCCTTGACGACCTACTGATGCTTCTGATTTGGTGAAGGATGTTTTTTCACAGCTTTGAAACTCATTGAAACTCAAGGGATTTCAAGGCACAGTTCATTTGTTAAGTTCAGTTTCATGGATGATTTGAGAGAATGCAGAGGAAAAAAGAACGGTAAGAATCAAGTTTCAATCACCTGACCGACAACTAGGTCAACAGTGCGTGAGAGTGGACATGTCGCAGTGTGGTGACCCTTTTTTCCATCAGCCTATGAATCGGAAAGAAATGTCCACATAGCCTTTGGCTAATCAACTTGGAAGTGAGATATTGACCATTCCTCATCATTCCTCAACGTTTTTGTGTTCAGAAAGGTGGCTTTTCGAGTCTGCTTTAAGCTTCAAACCGGGCCTCACCTCGAAAGATGTTGATACACCAGGCATCCAAGGGCGGCACTTCGCCGCGACACCATCGGTGGCTGGGATGGACTTCGACAGAATCCTTTCCTTCGATGTGCAAAAAAAACGCAGAAACCATGGTAGTTTCTGTAGGTTTCTGTAGGTTTCTGTAGGGCATTTGAAAATAATGGCACCATCACAGCAGTTCTGTAGGGCACTGCTGGAAAGGGGACATCGAACCGAGTTTTGGCGAAATAACATAGGTTTCCTGTAAATGTTCAACCCAGGACCCAGTGAGGTTTGGTTCCAAACTTGGGACCTGCTCATCGATTGGCGGTATGCCCAGGTTATCCGTTGACCGGGAGAGATGCGTCAGAGGCCATTCTTTGGGTTGAGTTTGGAACAGCATTTGGAATGGCTTATAATCCCCATTATACAGCTAGCTATAGTTCATAGATGTTCACATTAGTTGGATTTATCAAAACCATCCCCATATAATCCAATGTATATATTAATTATATGAATATATCTATATATATATATAATGTGTATACATACATACATACATACATACATACATACATACATACATACATACATACATACATACATACATACATACATACATACATACATACATACATACATACATACATACATGTAATACACGTAATACACGTAATACATGTAATACATGTAATACTTGTAATACTTGTAATACATGCATGCATGCATGCATGCATACATTCATGCATACATACATACATACATACATACATACACACATACACACATACATACATACATACATACATACATACATACATACATACATACATACATGCGTACAAACATGCACATACACATACACATATACATACGCATACACATATACATACGCATACATATATACATACACATATACATACACATACACATACATACACATACACATACACATACATATACACATACATATACATACATACACATACATATGACCACGTGTCAAAAATAGTTGTTTAGAAGTTTAGTATTGGTTGTTGATAATTCATCTGGGTCTACTGTTTTTTCCTCTTCGTTATGAGGCGGCACGCAACTAAATTCAGCAATTCTGCAAGGCAGCGCTAGCAAACCCGCTAGGTTTGCGCTAGGTTTGATTGACAGCCATGGCCTCCATGTCGTGAATGTCTTGCCAGCTTTTCTTACACTGTCAGTTTCCACATATTCCCAAATTTTTGATTTTTTTTACGTATTTTACGTGCTAGATCGCCGCTAGCAACGCGCTAGCGAAAATTGCAAATACATGCCCCGGTCCACCCGCAGCCCATTCAGAGGCACAGCCATGTTCACGCTTTGGTAGCTTACAGTAAGGAAACAGCGTTGATCAGGAGGCATGTCAAGAAGCATATTGCATTCAGAGAGGCACACTCACACACAGAGACACACAGTTCAGGAGATAGTACCAGCGACAGCGAATGAAAACCGACGTGCGTTAGCCGATTCCTGTGGTTTTAGAAAGATTTCCAAAGGTAACGAAGAATTTCCACGTTTTCACGTCATCAAGGTAGGTCATGTTTTTTAAAGGCAAACATGAGGCGGCACGCATGGAATTGCGATTTATCAACAAAACCGGGAACAGACATTTTGACAAACCGTCATATACATATAGAGTTGCACCAACTTGGCTAGCACAAATCACACATAAATCTTAATTTCTGTTGGTTAAGTCCTAGGTTTTGCTGGGTAAGCAGCATTTTTCGGGCACCACCTTGTTCCACGCCATCTGCTTTCCTTGGAGGTCGGCGGTGGCACAAAACCCTTGCGACATCTGGAAGAACAGTTGCAGGATGCCCACAGTGATTTCTGCCGACGAATCGTACCATAGATGATGGTGAGTTTGTGTTGTATGGATCTATCAATGGGCTTTGATAGGATATACAATCAACAGTCTGATATTTGGGTCTGTCTGAAAATGGGGTATCCATTCATGTTTTGGCGGTTTAATGGGGAAATTGCCGATCAACAATCAAGTTTGTGGTACCCTAGTTTTGAACAATGACAAACCTATGTATACATATATATATACATAATTTTACTGGGTAAGCCCGGCAACTATGAATTAACAAAAATCCTGGTAGCCAAAGAATCAGACGTGGGTTTCATCAAATGAATTATATCTAATTCTGCCATAGATATTCAATTAATCTTCCATATTGGAATGAGATTCAATTTTTTTTATGATTCCATCTTATGAGCAATATGCCAACTAATATCCAAATATCCAATGAATATTCCATGGATATCCCATAAATACGATAGATCTCCCATAAATATCCAATTTTTTTGCCCCCTGGATTCCACGTTGGGACCTTGGGGAGGGGCGAAGGGAGCTGTGGTCCTGGACCTCGAAGAATTTGCATGTAAATAGATAAAAGATATGAACATGATACTGTATGTATTATGTATCTATCTACTGTATCTATATATATACTATACTATTATATACATATATATATATGTATATATATCTATATACCTCTATCTTTCTATCTCTCTCTCTCTCTATATCTCTATATATCGAACCATATATGTATATTATATACATATATATATATATATATACATACATATGGAGGTTTCCTCATTGGAGGGCAAGTGGTCAGTAACCATAGCTATAAACCATTTATAGATGGGATACTTCAGTTCGGGGACTTACGTTCACCAGGGTATATAACTAACCACTTTCTAAGTGGGATGATCCTCCAAGTCACAATGTTTCAATATATCCCAACTATAATTCATTGTGTTCCCGTTTCATTTTGGCAATTCTTGAGGATTTCCCATCACATATCCCATATATTCCCGATTAACTATAGTCATAAGTGTCAGAATATAAACCATATGAACCATACTATAGTTAACCAATGTTATCCCAACATTAATAGTTATCCCAACCATAACTATATGGCTATGAGTCAAAAACTTGGCACCCAAACAGTACCCAAAGTCATAGCTGGTATAGCTGGATGTTTATCCCCCATATGCATTTGTTCTGAGTTCAAAAAATGTATCCCATAATCTATCCCATATAATCCCTTTTAGTTGTATATAATTAAGTATAGGTTATAGCTATATACATATATGAATGGGATATAGCTATGGTTACTAACAACTTACCCTCCGATGAGGAAACCTCCATATGTATATATATACACATGATTATATGGTTATATATATATATAGAGAGAGAAAGATAGAGGTATATATATATATAATAGATAGGTAGATAGGTAGATAGGTAGATAGATAGATAGATAGATAGACAGACAGATAGATAGATAGATAGACACACAGATATATATATATATAGATAGATAGAAAGATTGATAGACAGACAGAAAGATAGACAGACAGATATATATATATATATATAGATAGATAGATAGACAGATAGATAGACAGACAGATAGATAGACAGACAGAGATATATATATATATAGATAGATAGATATAAAGATAGATAGACAGACAGATAGATAGACAGACAGATATATATATATATATAGATAGATAGATAGAAAGATAGATAGACAGACAGATAGATAGACAGACAGGTATATATATATATAGATAGATAGATAGAAAGATAGATAGACAGACAGATAGATAGACAGACAGGTATATATATATATATAGATAGATAGATAGAAATATAGATAGACAGACAGATAGATAGACAGACAGGTATATATATATATAGATAGATAGATAGATAGATAGAAAGATAGATAGACAGACAGATAGATAGACAGACAGGTATATATATAGATAGATAGATAGAAAGATAGATAGACAGCCAGATAGATAGACAGACAGATATATATATATATATATGGAGGTTTCCAAAGTCATCGGACCACGACTGGCCGCAGGAGCTGGAGACCTTGCTACGTAGCGGCGCAGCGGGAGACCCTGCGCCGGCGACAGCGACGGAGGAGGATTTTCACCGTAAATTGGGAGTTGGAACGGTTGGACCAGCGAAAAGTTGGATTTTACCAGCAAAAAATATCAAAAACATGGATTTAACTAGCAAAAATGTAGATTCAGCAGGAAATGTGGGTTTAAGCCAGCAAAACGATGAAACAAACCAGTTAGCAATGCAGATTTCACCAGCAAAATTGGGATTTATCGGATTTTAACCACAGCAAAAATCTATGGATTAACATCCACGAATTGGTACTTATTAACCACTTTGAATGTGCGTGTCCTGCAGATTTGCGGAGTCAACATGCAGTGTTTAACGGCGATACGACGGAGACAGGGGATCACTTTTTGAGTTAGTACTGTGAGCTGAGTGGTTGGCTGCTGTCACAGAAGATTTTGTCTCCAAGGACATGGGGAGCATTCGGCAATTATGTGTTGCATCCCTAAGAATGAGAAAATTGTTTTTTCATTCTTTTCATTCTCAGGTATCACTAAACAGACATTAAACATAATTACATTAAATTCCATTATTCCATTATTTTTCCATTATTATTCCATTATTATGGGATGGTTAAATTATTAATCCACTATTGTCTTAAGGAACCATTATTTTTACCCATACCGGAGAACTTGTTCCATCCCCAAAAACGCCAGGAGATGGAGGACTCGTTTAGCGAAGTTTCGAGCGATGATGAGGTGCGGCGGTGCGGCGTGTTGGGTGCGGTGGCGTTTGGTTGACAAAGCCACGAGATGGAAAAACAATGAGATAACCAACTATGGTTTATAATAGGTTTATAATAGGTATATAATAGGTATATATACATATATATATATATATGTATATGTATTGATATAACAATCATACAGGATGAATAAATAAATATATATTATATCATATATACATATATATATATAACAAACATAAAAAAGGATGAATGATAATCGTATATAAACCCCATAGATGATAACCTACAAGTAGGTCAACTATGGCTTATGATTGGTATATTGAACTAGTTCATACTAGTTCATGGGGTTTACAAAGCAACTTGTAACTAGGGGGCCCCACATTGTACACATGAATAGTACAATGTAAATAGTATTCTATACACATATATATATATATATTAATGGATAGTGAACAATATAAAGTAGGGTATATCAAGCGTGGATATGTGAGTTTTATGTACATGCATATGTATGCACTAGTGTAGGTTGCAAACAAATGCAACATTGACAGCAAACGCATCATCATTGATGCACCGGAAGTCATTCGAGGCATTTTTTTCCCCAACCATGTTGGAGCTAAACCGAAAACCTGAATAGCTACGTTTGCTGTGTGTTCCATGCGGAATCTTTGGTCGGGTCAGCCGTTGAGGCCCTCCCAAAAACCCGTTATGTTTGACACTTGGTGATTGGGGATGCCACAAACATTTGTCGTTGAGCCCCATTTTGGGACGGTAGAAACTGGCACTAATGTTGTGTCAGATACAGCAGTGTAGCCATCCCATTCCCACCTCCGAAGCATTTTGCCGGCAGACCGGTCAGCTGGATCTTTGTCTTGGCAAAGGCGGCGTTGGTGGCAGCGGACGATGTCTGGCAAGATCTTGTTGTTCTTGGACGGTAAGAGATCGTAACTGGTTGATGATCTTGTAAGTCCCCGTTGAGTGGGTTGCAACATATGGTTCAATTTACCAACTGTTTAATGGTGCCCACCGGGGGTTTAGGCTTTTGACCCTTTCCCATATATCAACGGATTCTTGGTTGCTAACCAGCTACAATCCGTAAATGATGATCCTTCAGGCCGTAAATAGACTGGTCCCCACTGTTTCTGAGATGGGATGAGTTTCTCCTGCCGTGGAAGATCGTGATGTCTTGAAACCCCTTCTACCTGGATATTGAGGGAAGCATACCTTTTGCCTTCATCCCCGTTGCCCACTCTCTACTGCAATTAGGTAGTATACATCCCAAGTTTATACTAGTAGATACTAGTAGCATGTTTTACCTACTGCGTCACGTGCCATGCAGATGCAAACAATACAAACAAGCATGAAATTTGGGCCAAGGATGTTTGTTTTCAAATTGAGCATATTGTTTGCATGTCGTTTGCTGGGAGTAATTTATTATACCATCAGTCTTACTTGCATTTATGGGAAGATTCCAAGATGTTTCATCTGAGTAGCTACTTCTGCCAATTGTATGATATTGTATGTAATTTGTTGGTCCACATATGCATATATCAATGTATCACATATCAAAACTAAAAATTATGATACATCTAATTATTATAGTAATTAGATATCCCCAGTTCAGCATGTTGATCTTTAAAACCACAAAATCAACATATTCGATGGTCAACCTCCAGCAACGCCTGCCAGGTTCCCAGAATGTCTCCCTACAGCTCCGCGCAGCAGTTGGTGGAGGCGGCACCGGCCCAGCGAAAATGGTGGTTTTAATGAGATTTAACCAAGAAAAATGGTGACTTACTGGTGATTTAATGGGGATAACACATGATGTTACCATAGATGGAAATGATTGATAGATATTCATATGCTTCAAGAAGGATAATAGATTATTAATGGAATCATCATGGAAAATGGATGAAAATGGATGTTTAACCAGCAACAACATTAGATGGGATGATTCCTTTCTGAACACATATAACTTCCCACCTAATTTGGGAGGCCCAGCCTCTAATTGATTGGACTAGCATCAGATTCACTTTCCAACTTGGCTAAGATTGACTTCAGATTGACTTCCCAACTGCCTTTTTGGAAGCCTCCGCCCTGAGCTTCCGCATTTGATATTCGTTTGGCACAACCAGGATTGGCCTAGCCAATCCACGAGAAACAGGGCCCCTGGGCCCCCATCGACTCCATTTCGGTTGCTCCAGGTTGCCATGGCTTGCACAACATACTGTACATAACCATGAAATGGTTGATAATAGTTCAATATAGTTCATATATGGCTTAGTAATCACCTTCTAATAATGGTGAATCATGGTTCAATATGAAGGTTTCCTAAGTCATGGGGAATTCCCAATACTAGCTGGATGGTCTAGGATGGAAAATCCTCAAAAGAACTGAATGATTTAGGGGTACGGGGTACCCCTATTTTAAACACCACCCCTTTATCTACAAATGAACATTTTACTATCTACGATATACAGCCAATGGTTCACTGGGATCTTTTTACAGATGCAATATACAACAAATTACGTGTTCAATATGATTACATGGGATGGATAATCACCATTAATCACCAATATTAGTCACTATTATCCCATTGTGATCCCATTATGTACCGCAGATGAACCACTGTTTGTCCATTTTTTTATGGGTGGCTCCTCAAAATGGGAGATCCCCACCAAAGATCCCCCGGTGCCAGGCACCTGCGCTCGGCTCTGGACGGGCGGCATTCTCCTGGCGGACCGATGGCGATGATGGGGAGTTCACCATGAAAAAATAGGGTGAAAGCACCATGAAAAAGGATGAAGCATGGGGTCAATTTCACCATGAAACATGGTGATTTATTCCATGAAACATGATGATTTTAGCATGAAACATGCGGATTTGATCATAGTGAACCAACACACATTACAGATATGGCATATGGGTTCCTCTGAGATATACCAGCATTTTATGCCAGTTCAATGAGGAATATGATGATTCAATCCACATCACCCGGCGGCCCCGCTCGCAGGAATGGTTGCTGCACGCTACAAAGGCGCGGCCGACGGATGGCGCGTTAAGAAGCCGAAGGTCGCCGAAAAAAATCGGTTGGGCAAAAACGAGAAACATGGAACTTGAACGACATTTAGTAAAGCCAAAATAGTCCCATGGGACTATTGAATTTAGTCCTTTGAAGCGAACATGTGACTTTAATTGAAACAACTGTGTTACGGTGGTTTGATCATCAAACAAACTATAATTTATCAATGAATGATGGATATCGATTTTGTCCAGACATGATGGAGCAATTAATTGCCAATCTATCACCATGAAATGGATTGAAATGGTGCACATCATGATGAACCCATGGATTTTTTTGGTAGTTACCATTTGGACAAACCCATGTCTTGAGTCATAATATGTGTTGCTGAAACTTGATGGGGGTGGTAAAGCAGACAGCCATGGGGTACCAACACGGAACCAGCCTTGGCAAGCAACCTTAGCATTGCCGGCACGCTTTTAGTGAACACGGTTGAAGAATCTCAAGGCTTCCTTTTGATCTGCTTCAGAAGCCCAGCAAAACTCTGGGTGGTTTATCCACCAAAGTGGGATGATGATGCTGATGATGCTGATGATGATGATGATGATGATGATGATGATGCCAGTGAACTACTTACTGTACTACTTTTGGTGGTGGCTCAACCACTCACAAATGGTGTTTTTCATGCAGAGTTGTTGAAGCGATTTCGAGCAGCCAGGATGGTTTGCGGCTGAAAGGCAAGCAGGCAGCCTGGTGGGCTGAGCTAGTGGTTGTTGCCCCACCTCCCGCCACTGGAGTATGTATATATAATGATATATTTATATATATATATTTATACACATAATTTTACAACAATTATACGTATTTTTTATTTACATACACAGAGTATTGAGTTTATGTCCAATAGGCTGTGATAGTTTACTTGATAGTCCTTTCATATCCACCCAAATCTTGCCGGTCCCAAGGTAGTCACCAGCATCACATCACACCAATGAAACTTGCTGTATTGCCATGTATTGCCAAGCTATCAATAGCTGTTATGCATCACTGTGCAATGGCTGTATCATCAATCCTTTAGGTCTGGAAATAGTGAGTGGGGTATATCAGAAAGTCCCAACATGATAATATACCCTCCTTCAAATTAACATAGATATGGATGGCCCACCAATAGAAATTAGATGTAGTTAGATTATTTTCCTTGAGAAACTGTGCATTTTCCACATCTACCTGCATTTCCTGGAGGGTACATTTTAGTCATTTTATACCCCCCCCCGTCCATGATGTATTCGTTAAATCCCTGTGTTTGATGGTTAGATGAGGGTTTGTCCTCTGATTTTCTGATTTGTTGATTTGCTGGATGGTATCCATCCCAAATTTGATGGTTTATGACTACTTTCGGTCGAACTGACCATTTGGATCCATTTGGGTAAATCAAGGTAAATCCATGCAAGTCTCCCGTTTTCAGGTCCACATAAAATATCCCGATGTTTGTCATGATATCCCCCTAGATCTCCATTAAATATATCCATATTTCAACTTGTGTTATGTTATAGATGTATCATCCATCATTATCCATTATCATCCATTATCATCCGTTATCAGCTATTATCGTGTATCATCCATTCTCATCTACCAACAACTATTACACCCATGATTGTTCTCCAATAATTACCACATCTCTGGTAAACGTCTACATAGCGAACTGGAAGTTCCCACCATCTTTAACTTCGGTAAATCAACTAAATCTGCCATTTTCGCTATTTTGACATAACCAGAGGGAAAACCTTCAGCCAAAAAAGCATTGTTGCTGGGTATATCACCAACTTTTCCCGTTTTTTTTTGATGTTTTTTTGTGATTTTGACGCATTTTCCCATGGTTTTCCCATGGTTTCGCCATGGTTTTCCTCCAAGGTGTTGGAGCTGGGTGCCGGTGCTGCCGCCCTGCCATCCATCGTGGCAGCCCGGTACGGCGGGGCGAAGAACGTCCTCGCCACGGACGGGCTGGAGGACGGAGGACTTTGTTCGCAGCGGAGCCATGGGGGTCTACCCTCTGGTAAACTAACATAGCTATTGAAAATGGCCATGTTTAATGGGAAAATCCACTATTTCTATGGCCATTTTCAATAGCAAACTGTTAGTTTACCAGAGGGTAACCATGGTTTAATGGTGGTTTAATGGTGGTTTAATGGGATTTAATGTGGATCTAACGGGCTGATCTAACCAATGATCCCACTACTTACTGGTGCTAAACGTGAGGAATGGATGGGTTGCTGGGGGTTGCTGGGATTATTATTCATAGTTATTGTGGATCATTCCCGAAGATTCCCTACTAAGCACCAATAAGATTATATGATATGGGATATATAATGGATTAGTATATTTATAGATATATCTAACATTAGTAGTTAAACAATCCATAGTTACCATAGTTAACGATGGTTTAATGGTGGTTTAATGGGATTTAATGGGATTTAATGGGAATATACCCTTTGGTAAACATACAAAAAACTATGGAAAGATCCACCATGTTTTTATGGGTAAATCCACGAACTAAATGGCCATTTTCAATAGCTATGTTAAACCAACAATGGACTTTACAGGGACATATATATATGTATGTATGTATATTATTGACAGTAGGGATATTTGAAGGATAATAATATTGGATGTATTTAGGCTATAATGGATATATAACCATCAAAAATGGAGATCTCTTGGATATAAATATATTAATATATATATATATATAGTGGGATAGTACCATAAAAAATGGTATTTTATTTGGTTTTAAAGGAATATTCGCTGGATCTAGGATATAACCGACGCAGTTGAAAACAATCAGTGCTACAGAGATATATAAATCTAGCCAGCAATAGTTGCATTTTATGGAAAAAAGGGATATAGCCACCAAAAATGGAGATCTAACCAACAAGTTTATGGTGGTTTAGTGTGATATAAGGCAGGGTAAAATGAGTGTATGTATATCACCTTTTCACTTTTCACCACTTGTTTCAAACTAGTTCTGTTATACTTGGATTAGCTTATAGATTACTGTATATATTTGGATTGTGATTGCAAAGATCGAGACCCAGTCAGAGTCACTTCGACGGTTCAATAAACATGTTTGTCTGTATGACCAGTAAATAACAGCAAAACGCACAAATAAACAAGTGAGCATATATTGACAGGTGATTTGGCTATGGAGTTGAAAGACCCTGAGAACATATTGTCGGTCGGTCATTTATTTATTATATATTTATACACATATCTAATATAAATATATATTTAGCTGTATGATTATATATTACTTAAGCAACGATTCTCTGAAATTTCTATTCATATCAGAACATTCCCGCTTGTGATATCTACTTACGTGTTGTGATCATTTACAGCATTGTGTTGTTGAATGTTTGGTAAATAGACCAGAGCCAGGCAACCTCAAAGTTTGGCATCTTCCTTTTTGCCATTTAAGGGGTGCTGTTTCCCTACTGAAAATGGTCCAGTTGTGGCTCATTCTCAGCTTTAGATTAGACCCACATCCACAATCAGAGTCTCAATGAGATGATAAAGTTGTGTTGGAGTCACAGGAGTCCTGCGGATGATCACTTCGCGATTTTGTTCGCTATCTTGATGTCGAACATGGCAAACAAATAATGATTTTAATAGCATTTTTCAGTTCGCCATGTACGTCACTCAGGGCTAGCCTCCCATCGTCCCTTGGTACAGGAGGTGGTGGAACAGATGAGGCTATGCTGGGATAGCTGGGTGAAAATGAGGCCCTGCAATGACAGAAGGCATTATGATATATACTATTATATAGATTATATAGTAGCCATTTTCGGGAAACCCCTGATTTTCGACATGTTTTCTTAAGTTGGTAGTTCGCTCTTTTTCTATACTGGGAGGAGCTCTGCTAGCCTGTGCGAAACCCATCGGAAACCAGGGAAATCCCCGAACTGATATCCCACCATCATCAAGGATTCCCTATACCATTGCATACCTGTTAACCAGGATATGACCATTCCTTTTATGGGAAAACCAACCATGTAACATGACCATGGGACATATGGCTTTCTATGACATGATGGGAGAACTCCCGAAATCAACTGCTGTTACTGTTGTGAATCATCATTTTCTCATTCAAATTGCCATTTATGGGTATTTCCCACTTTTTCAGGTCCACTAATATCAGAGTGTTGGTGACATATCCCATTATATCCCGGTTCACATCCCATTGAAGATCCCATTGGGGGTCTTTCCCACCACATTCGTAGGCAGAACGTGGCACAGAACGCCCCCTTGGTGCAGTGCTCTTTGCTGCCGTGGCTCACAGCAGGGCGGCGAAGATATCCCAAGAAGGATCCGGGGGGTGAGTTGAACCTGGGAATTTCCCACCTTCAAATTTGACGAACTGGTTGGTGATTCACAGGTGGTTAATGATGGTTAATGATGGTTATATAATAATGGTTATATAATGGTTATATAATGGTTAATAATGGTTAATGACTGGTTGGTGGTTTGGAACCATGGAATTTTATGACTGTCCATTCAGTTGGGATTTTAATCATCCCGACTGACGAACTCATATTTTTCAGAGGGGTAGGTATACCACCCACCAGCTAAAGATGGTTTCAGGATATAATGCTATCATATTGGTATTAGTCCAGACTGATGAATCATAATCCATGACTGAAAGATGGTGATATCACCAAAGAACTGGCTTGCCGGTGGCTTTCCATTATTGGGATGAATCCAACAAAAGATGAGGAGATTCAAGGATATTAGCAGATACTCAAAGATGGCTAATTGTACAACCAGCCATCTGCTTGGTGGCTTCAATTGAGCACTGTTCAAAACCACTGCTAGTTGATTGGTTGAACATTAATTACATAGGATTATACAACCATACGGACCATACCCACTATGTTGGATTACCATAACATATATAATCCATTTTAGGAATTCTGTTCTGAAACAGGCACTGACTGGTGGTTTGGAACATTTTTTATTTTTCCATATATTGGGAATAATCATCCCAATTGACTTTCATATTTTTCAGAGGGGCTGAAACCACCAACCAGGGCAGTAATTTTTGGGACAACAGAGGGTTCCCTTCGGACCGCCGACCAGGAGCAATTTGACATCGTGCTTTTTGCGGATGGTCTTGGGCTCAGGTGTACGCCCTGGAGGTCTGGGTTTCCCCTGCTTTCATGTGGTAAAGCGGTAAACCCAGGTACCATTTGGGGATGGTTGATATCATCCATGGTCATGGTGGGATATGTTATCTATACTCATTTATGGTCATGTTGGGGATATCCAATACCACTGGGTTTCCCACATTGCATGAAAGGATCCCGGAAGATGCAGTGAGGAGGACGCTATCGAATAAAGTTTGAATAAAGAACTTTTTGGCCTTTTTGTCTCAGGTAGCCGGCTGGTGATAGAAGATGTTTCTGCAGCCAGGATCCAGTCGCTATATTTGCAGAGACTATTTTCAGCAGGTGATGTTTGTTGGCAGTTCTCTCAAGGAGTGGGCAGACCAATGCAAAGTAAATTAATGTAAATTACACCCAAACAATCCCAGACAGCCCCAATCTAAACGGCAACACCAATATCTTTGCCAAATCGATGTAGAACTACACTCAAAATTCATGTGCCCCAACATTTTCATGGTCTATCTCATGAATTTTCCCCATTAAAGTGTCCCTAACTTTGGGAATATGGGTCATCAACTTTTCATCTTCACATCCCATTTCCTGGGCGCGAAGCGAACACCTGAGGAATCTACACGGAACGCGGAGCGTTGCTCTTGGCAGATGCCGTGACGGTGGAAAGAAACCCGGGCCTTGGGGGGATGGTCAGTCTATATCAATCCCTCAACGGGATTAAACTATGTGTTTATAAGATTATATAAGTGTATATCTATATAATTACTGTAATTTACTGTATATATATATATTGTATCCATGATAAGAATTCTTCTTATGGGATGACCATGACCCCATAGACGATCTTTTAAGCGTGGCACATTTGATGAATCTCAGTGGCTACACATGTCCGAATTGGATCGAATTGGTTGTGGGTAAAACAATGCCATAAACCACCCATGACTGGGAATGGTAAACATACCACCCATAAAAATGGTGATGACTGGGGGGATGGTTTATGTTTGTTTTACCCACGTTATTTGGGAAATCCACTATTGGACATAATTTATTTGAAATTTAAAGTAGAATGGTCAGAGGCCAGACGGTGCGAAATTATACCTTTCCAACTTGGGCTGCAAAGTTTGACAACTGCTAAGAAACCCCGAAACCCATTGGTTTTCAAATGTGTTCAAAACACCTTCCATATTCTATAAATTCTATTTGTGGGGCCAGCTCATTGTATTTGAGGCCAATAGGCTCAATAGACCTTGCCAAGTTTTGCGCCAACACATAGCACGCCTGCCAGGCCCTATTGAGACCCAAAGGGCTGTCGATGGCTCAGGGCTGTCATCAGCGGTTGAGAAGTCAACCGGTGGTGGTCATGTTGACATTGTCAATATCTTATAAGTGGAGGTTTATAGCTGGGAAATCCCCTATAAATGGAGATTTATAGCTGGGAAATCAATTATAAATGGAGGTTTTATAGCTGGGAAAATCATCGAACCAAATTGTGGATTTTCCATTGCCACGTTTGATTACCGGAGGCTACATTTCTGGTTCATTTTTGTGCACAGTCTATCACCAGAATTTGGATATATTGTAGCCTTTACTGCATATTTTGGGTGTCGCCATAATATCGGTTGAGAGAACAAATCCATAGACATTGTGACATACATCACCATAAAAATTGACATATAGTTAATATACATCACATCACATCACCCACCAGAAATTCATAGAATTTCTGTGCCCGTGTGCCCAACGATCTGGGTTTGTTCATATAGGGTGCCCCAACATCCAATGCGAACGAACATCCTTCAATAAACATTGCCACTTTGGGGTAAGATCATGTTCAGACACCAAAAATCATCTGTTGGTGAATTCCCAGTTGTTGATTCAATAGTTTAGAAAAATCATAAACAGTCTAAGATTGGCGAATTCCCATAATTTGCTTGGTTTCATAGTGTCTTATTAATCTATATCAATCTACTAAGTCGCCATAACATCCCATAACATGCCATAACTACAGTTAACTCCGACGGGCCCAGGCTCATTGGCGCCTTGCCCGACCTGCGCGCCGGAATCGCATCCTTCGAGGACACCTTTTTGGGGGAGCAGATTTTTGATGGAAAAAAAACATCAGAAGATATTTACCCTCTGGTTATTTAACATAACCATGGAAAATGGCCCATTTATAGATGATTTTCCCATTAATACCTCCATTTATAAGGGATTTTCCATAATATCTGATTGGTGGTTTCAAACATTTGGATTATGTTCCATAATATATGGGATGTCATCCTTCTCATTGACTTTCATATTCTTCAAGATTGTTTTTTAACCACCAACCAGAAATTATTTGGCAGAAGACAGTGTTTATGTCATAACTTGTTTTTGCTAGTTTAGTTTTGACATATTGAAATGATGTTTGCGTGTTTTTTTCCCGTGCCATTCATTTTTCGATGTATGTGTTCTATTTATTGACTGGTATGTTCACGTTTTGCTCTGACATCTAAACATCCTTTAATCGTTGTGGCTATTTCACATGCAGCTCAATGGATCAGCATGTCCAGAGTGGTTCCATGCGTCACCATTTTCCAGGAAGATCTACAAATGCGTGGTATGGTCGCTGCGCAAGTTACCTTGAAGAAGGTTGGGAATCAGTTGTGACTGCAGCGTGCCCGCAAGGTTGCAAGGTCCAGTTTGGGTATGGATCAAAGAACGGAACATATATGAACATATCTGGTTGGCGGTTTGGAACATTTTTTATTTTTCCATATATTGGGAAGAATAATCCCAACTTACTAATATTTTTCAAAGGGGTTGAAACCACCAACCAGATATCATTTTTTGACGTGTTGGTTATTGTGGATGTTCATCTCTTCGGAAAAGATGGTCCCACTTGCGTTGATTCATCGCAGTGTTGAAAGGCTTCAATATGATGAGAACAGGATGATTTTCCACATATTTTGATGCGAGGAGCTGACAATCTCAATGTGTTCTCAAAGTATCCAGTACCGTGATGTGGACATCTAGCTGGTTGGTGGTTTCAAACATTTGTTATTTTCCATAATATATGGGGTTGAAACCACCAACCAGCGCATGTTTTTGATACCGGAAGGACGGTGGTGCCCAGCCTCCGCCTCCCGTTGGTGACTCGTTCAGTAGCTTCACCAGCTTGTAGGGATCAGCTTTGTTTGTAAAGTATCCCCTCTCCCATTGTTTTGGGGTCAATATTCTCAATATCCCATTTTTTATCCCTTTACTAGTATTACTATAGTGATATTTTCCCAATATTTCCCAAGAACCCAATAATCCATCCATCATGAAAATTGGGAAATATTGGGAAAATATTGGGAAAATATTGGGAAAATATTGGGAAAATATCACTAAATATCATTATTTCACTAAATATCCCCATGATCCATCCATCATTTGCCGCTGAAAAACTCCGCTTACGAATCTCCTTTTTGGCGATGGCGGCCAGGAGGTGATTGAAGCGGCTTCCAGACCGTACGATGAGGAGCATCGATGCTTATAGCAATCTCCAAAAAGATAGACCTATGGTAACTAAGTGACCTAAATGATGGTTATATAATGGTTATATAATGGTTAATCATGGTTAATAGTGGTTAATGACTGGTTGGTGGTTTGTTTGTTTTTTTTTCCATTCAGTTGGGGGAATTTCATCATCCCAACTGACGAAGTCCATCATTTTTTCAGAGGGGTGGCTCAACCACCAACCAGTATATAAGATAGTGGTAAATTCAGGGATGTCTGTTCTGGTGCTACAGTGGAAGCTATCAAACATGGCGAATCAGATGGGATTCCGAGTTGAGATGTGTTGATGGAACTTGGATGCCTCAAGAGGATTGAAGAGGTTCGAGAAGAACATGGTCCAATCAATATGGAATCAACTCTTGTGAAGCAATTATGATATATTATGATTATGATTATATGATTGTTGTTATGGTCATGATTCTTATCTGTATCCTTTGAACCTTGAATCACAATCGTGTTTGTATGAAATATTCTTATTGTGAACTGGCTGACTCATATACACCAATTTAAGTCGACATATACATTCTTGGACCTGAAATGGAGGTTTAAAATCTACATACCAAGTGTATCTTGAGGGTAAACAACGTTTCCGGCTTTCCTGCAACGTTTCAGGATCCCTATGGCTTGGTGGCTGGGGGTTCCGCGAAGGAGCGGCGCTGAGATGAGCCAAGACCCCATGATCATGTAGTAAACCCGACGCGACAATAAACCATCCCCGGTTTTTGTTTATTGTGGATAAGGTGTAGTGTTATTTGGGATGATTTTTAGATATTTTTAGATTAGTCTCAAAAGTGCCTCAAAACGTTTGGTTATTGGAATGGTTTCCCAATATCACCATGAATGGCGGGTAAAGACCATCCACAAATGTTGATTTTGTGGCATTGGGTTTGCCACATTAAACCAAGCGGACCAAGCAGCAGTTCCCAAGTTCAGGAATCGATCGATGATGATCAGGAACTATGATAACTATGATTATCTCTGATTATAATGATGCAAAAAATGTTTTTTTTGTTTATTGATCATCTATGATTTCTCTCATGGGCCAGGAGTACCGTGTGATGCTCTGGCGCTATGCTCAGCAGGTCCGGCTCTGCTGGTGGCAGCGCAAGTCAGGTTGGTAAAGCCTGCAATTAACATTTGATAAAGATAACGAATATTACACTACCAACTAGATCCAACTATGATTCATGTTACATTACCTAGTAGACACACGCAAATAATTAGTTTCTGATTCTAATTACTAATAAGCTAAGGTTACCCCAAAGGTTTATGTATACAATTGAATAAACACACAGTATAATTTAGTGTCGTAGAAGGTGTCCACCCATAACACACCGTTGGGAAGATCTTGGACGCGTTTGCCCAAGGTTGATCCCTTGAAATCAGGATCCCACGAACGGGGGTGGACTGGGGTTAGTTTATTGTTTTTTTCGCTATGGAACTTTTAATCTCCATAACTTGGCATATAACCCCTACAACTATGTTCATGATGTTCATGCAACCCAAGCAAGAGACTTGGAAGTGGGAAGTTTCACAACTTAGCTTTTGGTGATAGCAGTGGCTGCTAGACCTTTGTTGCTTGATTGGTAGTTCAGGGGTCGTACTACCCTTCATATCTTGAGGATTGTCATTATATATCCAGGATGCGAATTCAGAAGCTCACCATCCAGTGAATTTCAAGTCAAGGGCAGTTCATGCCGCAGCCTTGTGGTCAAACAATATATCCTTGCGCAAGAAAACCACGGCTGCACATGGGCACAACCTTGGGTGATGTTGATGCTCGATCCCTCAAATCACTAAAAATTGCTGTTCCACAACCTTTCCATCGAAAAAGCAGGGAACTTTGGACCACCCCCCCCAATTCTATACAAACACTGTATGTAAATGGGACCAGACAGCAAAGCCCTAAGATTTACCACAACATACAGGACATCATAAGGTCCCCACGTCTTCAAACCCTGCCTTGTTGCGCCATGGCAGAAGAGCCGAAGGCAAGTCCTAAGGAAGCCGTGCCCAAGGCCGGGATCCTTTAGAAATCTTCGGAAACCCTCAATGTTTCAATGGAAAATCACTTTTCATCTGTGGTTGGATATCACACTTGAGGATTTGCCAGCCAGGACATGCCGGGAGGGATTCTTGTTCATTTTGTGGTAGGAGATGATCGAGAATGACCAAGATGTACTTCAACAAGGGAATTTTCCGTTGCCAGGTTTGAAGTTAGGCAGGTCAAAGCAGCAATGTTCATGCTGGACCATTCACATGCATGCCAATGGGGCCCAGTGCATGTTAAAGGTGCTTGCACCGAAAACTGCTGTGATGTCATGTCTTGGCTTGGATGGGATCCATCGATACATGGAGATCGTATAGCACCTTCTGAAGGTACGGTCCCGGACGTCTACACCTCCTCCTCCTAAGAAGTTTCTCGACGCTGTTCAGTTTGTTCAGTGCATGGGATCTCGCTTTCCGTTTTCTTCCAAGACTTTTCGCTCTTTGATGAGTTCAACTGGTGGTTAAGGAACTGCAACTAGCGGACAAATTGCTCACTGCTAATCGCTTATGCCCGATTTTTCACCACCGTTCCCAGGACCTCTGTAGGGTCACCTGCCACGGCCAAATCAGTGGCCAAAGCTGCCGCTGCGCCAGCGGCCAGTGGCGTGTCCGCGCCCACAGCGAAGAGCGATGGAGGTCCGGATCTACGTGGGGAGTGGGGAAATCTGGCGCTGCTCTGCTTGTTGTATCTTGGACAAATCCATGGCGGGCTGGTGGGTTCAACATTGTTCATGAAAAAAATAGAACCACAATTCATTTAATCTTGTTTATGGCATAGTTTAAGGCTGTGTTTTCTTTAAACAAAACCCATACGTACTGTAAAGGGATGATTGGTTGAGATGACATGACGAGCATATTTTTGGGATGGGTTACAACCACCAACCAGATGGGTTTCTCTGAACATGGGTTTCACTTCGTGCACTCTCACTGGTCGAAGAAATAAAATGTATGGCATCTGCGCAAAAATGAATGAAGTTCCAAATGACACATGTTGATTTTGTTTGTGCAGCAGATATTGGGTGGCTCAGACTTCACCTGGTCGACCTAGTATTTCAGTATCAGAGTTCCTTGAGTTGTCTTGAAAGATCCTTGGGATTGATTGGGACATCTTGGGACGATGGTCCCCAAGAAAAACGCTACGATTTATGTGGGAGCACAATGTGAGTCAAGCACCATCTAGTGATCTTTTGATATCTTTTCATCAGCGCAGTGAAATAAATCATGTCTCAATATGTCTTATGTTCGAAGTCACTTGCCTCAACTCGCCTCCACATGTTTTTTAGTGTCTCATGTCTCAATTTGGGAAGTCACTGGCCCTCAGCTCCGAGGTATACACTGCAAGGCATTCCCTTGGGACTGGGTCAGGTTCTCCCATTGATCTTGAAGGATCGCGGAGCCACCTTCACAGAGCTGGGCGTCTTTTCCTTGCAGCTTGCATGGGGGGGTTCAAACGCTCATCCCCAAGAGCTGGAAATTCTGGTGGTTTCCGTTTTCTGGGGGTACCCCAAGAGCTGGATGGTTAATGGAAAATCCTATTAAAGTGGATGATTTAGGGATACCCCAGTTTTAGGAAACCTCCACATAGAGCTGGATGGGTTGAAGAGGAAGAGGACATATCTATCCGAATCTATCCATCTGGAGCAGGACTCTTTGGAGCTACGGCTATATACATATTGTTGGGCTTCAAACCATTTGCATTGGGTAGTGAAACAAGCAGCTGATCAGAAAAGATCTAAGGTCTCTGATGGTTTACATCTCAGCTGGTTGCTGGTTTCAGATATTCTTCTGTTTCCGTCGTGTGCCATTAGAAGGGATGATGGAGTCTTAATGCCAAATTTTGACTGACTGGTCGAAGATACTGCAATATATTCTTTGGTCCCAGGGCTCACACACCAATCAGCAAGGGAATTACGCATGATTCTATGATCATCTATGATCGATTTTGGGTGCTGCAGGCTTTCCTTCCAGCTCAGCAGTTGATGATTGCTGCGATATCAGCAGTTTGGCCATCATGATCTTCAACTGGGATGACTATTTCCGGTCCCATACCACCAACCAACTAGTTGACCATTGGATATATAATAGTATATTAATATATATATATATTTTTCACTGGCATATGAGACTTTCTCGTGCCGCCGCATGCACAGCCAGGGGAAAACAGAGTTCAAACTGGCTGGTAGTCCGGCATCATATCGCCGCCATCCAGGCAGGCTGATAGGCGGATGAATTCAGTCAAAACAGCATCGGCTTCCTTGGGTCCACCCTGGTCGTGGTGCCACTTAAGCCGATTGCTGAAGAAAAGGGCAAAAGCTCGGGAAAGGGCTGAAGGGTACTCCTTTGCCCGAGCAGTCCTAAAGCGACCTGCAGCGTCTCGTCCAATCAGAGGGGTGCTGGGCTTGATGGGATTCTCGATCTCGCAGGCCGTCAAAGCAGTAGGTAGTGAGCCATTGCTGTAAAGAAGCATCGTTGGCTTCACTCCTTCCGCACCGAAGCGCCATTGATGAACCGTAGTGCGCCGAAACGGATCTCCTCGACGAAGTAGAAGGCGAAGGATGCCGCTACGCCAGATCGATGGGAGCTCCTCATCAAAGGGCATGGCTGGGTGTTCCAACACCACTGGTCCAGAGCGCATGGTAATGGCAACCGAGAGCCAAACACCTTTCAGAAGTAGGCAATTGCCCACACTGAGCTGCAGCAATTCGCTCAATGAGCACAGTGGCAATCCCCACAGCTCGCTGGCAGATCGAACAGGCCGGGGGCCAGGACGAACTTCATCTGGAAGTGGTTGATTCCGAGCCGCTGACCATGTCTCACATGGTGGACCAAGCAACATCGCTAAAAGGTGCCCGCTGCGCGCACGATCCAATAGCTGATTCCAAAGCTCCGGGCTGTGAATGTTCATGCTAGCATCAATCGCTGTGTCAATCGAGATGACATAAACACAGGCACTGAGAGCAGGATGGTGCTTGTCCAGGTAGAACTGCATCCAGTGATGAAAATCTCCCTCGCGCCTACGCCCGGAGTAGAGGTGCACGATGAAATAGGGACCAGTGGTAGCAAGTGGTCGCTGAACTGGTGGTCGCGCAAACGTCCACTTGCACCGCTCTTGCTCTTCAATCGCCATCTTCTGATAGGTCGAAGGAACTTGATGCGCTCGGTTGTAAGGGCGAGCCACGGCAGGCGGAGCTGGTGCATCATGTTCTGGGTAGTCTGATGGTAAATTCATCCACTGGTCCGTCAGGACTTTCATTCGCTGACGAACCTGCCATGTAGGAAGGTCCTCCAAGACGCTCATGTACGCCTCTTCCAGAAGGATAGCAATGTCTGGGTCCAACTCTGGAGGGCAGTCATCATGAAGGTGAGTCTCAACCCAGTGGATGAACATTCTGCATCGCTGGGGGTCAGAGCAGTCCAAGGTGAAAAGGGCCCCAAACATGGCGTTGTGAAAGTCGACCTGCGTCGGCGCTGCCATTGCACACCACGTTCGTAGAGCCGCACATAAAGCAATGTTGGCCTGTTGCACCAATGGGTCGCCATCTGAAGGGAACCACCATGCACAATCTTCTTGTCCTTCTGCTCGGAGCTTCACAATCTCCTGACGGAGTCGAACTCGAGTTCGTTGCACACTTGTAGGACGAATAGGGCCATGATGCCTCCGTACTGCAGGCAAGCGCTTGACCTTCTTCAGGTGATCAGGCAGCTCAATGGTCATCGGGGCAGCAGGCGCACGTGCCATGTAGACTTTGTCCCAACAGCCATTGCGTCGGTATCGAAGGTGTTGAGTGACCCGAAAGCTGGTGTGAAAATCACGAAGGCATCCAGGGCAGACCGTAGACTGGGCATAATATCGTTCTTGCGCAACTACACCATGGAGCCTAAAGGCATGGAGCGACAACTGCTGCTGGGTGGGAAAGCTCTGCGGGCACGCCATACATCGAAGTGTAGGTGGTTTCTCTGCAGGTTCCTCTTGTCCAAGGTGGATCTCAGCGTCTACCAAAGTGAGCTCCTTGATGATAGCGTCATGGTAGGAAGCAACTTCCCATGCAAGCTTCTCTTGTGCCACATGTTTACGACATGCTCTCTGAACTTGCCGTTTCCACGGTTTCCACAAAGCCAGCTGAGGCCAAATGTCACGCCACTGGTCAGCCGAGGTTGGTACTTCAAAGGGCATCTCCACAAAGGTTTTCATCCAATGAAGGTCATGTGTGACTTCCCATAGCCAGCCTTTACCGGTGTTGTATTCCTCAATGAGCAATGTACGATGTACCGGTAATGCATGACGCGAAACGTGCTGCAGGTAAACCAAGCGGTGTCGCGCCCAATGAACCCGGAACGTCACGATCTGACGGGTGGCAGCAAATTCCACGTCACTAACATTGGAATCATTCCAGAAGCCCATGTTGTGGATGCGTCGATGGTGTTGCATGATCATGGTCTCGATCTGCTTCAGATGCGATGTAGGCACATCGCTCCAGACAGAGCATCCATATAAGAGTCGAGATAGGACCAGGCTGTCATAGAGCTTGATCCGTGCATCCACTGCCAGAGCTCGGTTTCCAAAGATGGGCCTTCTGAGTTCTTCAAAAGCCTGCTTGGCCATGGAGATCCTGGAAATGATCTCGTCATTGATGTCCAAATCCATGGTGTAGCGGGCTCCAAGGTGGCGATACGAAGGTACCACACGGATGGAAACAATGTGAGATGGAGTAGAGGCCACAATAGTTGGTGTTGTGGTAGTGTCAAAGAGGGAAGTGCGAAATCGATTTGCATCTTTTCCACGATACATCATCACAACCTCCGTTTTGCCCTTTTGCATGTTGAGGGTCAAACCATATTTGCTGAAGAGTCCATGCATTGCAGTGGTGACCTGTTGAACCAACGGAAGCAGGTCTTCAGGGTTCTCAGCAGCCAAGGGGACTGCCAGGTCATCCACCCATGTGACTGGAGGGACAGCAATGCCCAAAGCTTGGTGGCCTTTGCCTTGGAGATCAGAGCCATCCAAAAAAGCGCATAGATGTTTGATGATCTCTGACATCAACAAATTGAACCCAATGTCTGCAAGGGGAGAGCCAGGTCGAGTCCCACGGCGTGTCTCCGTAGCAAAAGCACTGTGAGGGTCCAATTGGAACCATGTACTCTGATGAGTATCAGCCAAACATCGTCTCAAAGCAGGGGGGACATCATCAGGCACCTTCTCTGTTGCTTGTTGAAGTTCTTGTGCAAGCGCTTGGAGGTCAAAGTCCATGGGGTCCATGATGCGTTTCAGCTCCTCAAACTGCATAGGCGAGTCATCATTGAAGACAAACTCGCGGAGGAGGTGGTGGAACGCTGACCGTAGATCCACGAAGATCACAGCCGTCGAAATCTTGCGGGCACGGCCCAATCGTCCATGTAGGCGCAGGAGCTGAATGCCCGACACCGTCTGCTGGGACGGCAAGCCACCCAGTTGACCAAGTGCTCGTCGGTGCAGCATAGTTGGGAGCAATCGTCGACGCATCCATGCGTGGTAGATTTTACCAAACGAATCGCTGAGGAGAATTCCACGATAAGAATCAGCCTGGGTTTGTGGTCCTTTTTGCTTCCAAATGGGGACCAGGAACCCACCTTTGCATCGGTAGGGTTCAACGGCTGAGAGAAAGGCTTTCATGAGAACTCCATGCAAGTGAGGCGAGAGTGCAGAAGCCCCATATCGACACACATTGGAGGAAAGGCCGTCAGGTCCTGGTGCTTTGTTGGGACGTTGGCGAAGGCAAAGGTCTTCTGTTTCGGCAAGCGTGGGCAGTTCAACCAAATCAATAGTCGTCACCAAGGGATGTCGATGGATGTTGGCAGAGTTGCGGGTGAAGCACCGATGGCGGTTGTCAAAGGTGGTACGTGTAGTGCCTGCCTCAAGCTGCTCAAAGTGATGAAGCAGTTGATCACCAAGGTCAAACCTCTGGACAGATCGGCGAACTCGGTTCTTCGGGAGGACTGCTTTGATGCGTCTCCACAATGCCGTAAGGCCTTCAACTGTGTATGTGTGGGCTGCTTGTTGGGCCAGAGTGGTGTAGTACCTCTCATCTTCTTTTCGGATGGCATCAGTCACAGCGACCGACAACTGTCGCAAGGAAGACATTGTGGTCGCAATGGCATGATCACTAAGAGGAATCCAGCCGTGCAACGCTAAGGCAGAATTCCGGCCTCGCCAAGCATGAAAGACCGCTTGCAGGATAGTGATGGTCCTTGTCTTCCGCAAAGCCTTGAGTTGCTTGAAGAGGAACTTCTTACGGTCAACTAGCTGCCAAGTCACATCGCTGATGTGGGTTTTGCGTGGGTGCCATCTGGAGCTTGGGGCAAGTCGCTGGATTGCTTGCTGAGTTTGTTCGGCAAGTACATCAGCAGTGTAATGCGGATCAGCACTCCACGAAGGCATCTGAATGGCAGC